TAACATAAATTAATATTGATAATGATCTAGTCCAGATTCAATTATATTGAATATCATGAAATCTGATAGCAACAAACAGATATGCATGCAAAGCTCAATAATTGAGAAAGATTGTTAAACTCTTTCGAATATCTTGTTTTATGGAAAACCCAAGAAAACGAATGTATTCTTTTTCATTGAAAAAAAAAATTAAATATTTTTGACAGCAGAAGAATTGAATAATTCTTCAAAGATTTGTTTTAAGGATGTAACTAACAACTAATATATTAATTTATGCTAGAAAACAAAAATATGGAGATCAATTTTTGAAAATTAAAAATATATGACAAATGCCTTCAAGCATTAAAAACAATTCGAAAAATAAATAAAAGACACTGCTAAAAATAGTCTTAGTATTATTAATCATGATGTCTAGTTAGTCAGACAGATTATTCTAATTGTATGGTACTACATAAATAGAAAGGTCTAGTTATTTTTGTTCTTGCTTTCCTCATATTGTAATCTATTAATCTTTCTTTAGATAAAAATAGTATGCATTATGTTTTTGTCTACTTTTACGCAAAATCCTTTTTTTACAAGACTGAAGAAGAACGTTTTGTTGAGTAAAGTAGTTAGTGCTATGCTAGAAATAATTCAGTTTAATTATCATCACCTAAGCTATATAGATAGTAAAAATATTTTTAATATTATAGATGTGATCAAAGAAGATTCTTATTTATTTCATTATGTTTTCAATTTAAATTTCATTGACATTGTAATAAAACACTAAACAACAAAAATATATTCTTTTTATTTAGTTCGTGTATAATAACTATAATTAATTGCTGCATGTTGATTAACTTGATTGATAATTCGATCGATATTCATATAATCTATTTTATTTATTTTTGTTTGTTTTGGAACATCATATGTTTGTATACGTGGTATTTCGTCAGTACTAAAATAACGAAAACAAAAAAAAAACACAACATATAAAAATTTTTAATTGAATTTTATTACTGTTGACGATAAGTTTTAAATGTTAATAGTTGATCAATTGAAGTTTTGGGAAGTGAAATAGGAGGAAAAAGTGCACGACGTAATGTATTAAGATTAACACAAACACCATTTGGTTGTAATCGTTGTAGTTTTTCATACATTTGACGACATTCAAGTTCATCATTAGGTGATAATGTTGTTTCAGATCGACGTATATCAATTCGAATAGGTGTTATACGCTCTGTATGTCGTGCTGATTTTTTCGTTAATTTATGTTGTCGACGTTGTATATATGATAAATTCGTTGAAACTGTATTAGGACGTGTTGTCATTATAAATGGTAAAAAAATAAACTGAATCAAGACAATGTATATATTTCTTATACTTTCTATTATTGAAATTGAATGTTACATAAGGTATTTTTTTTTTTCATTCTCAATTTTCTTTTTTCTCGATGGCAACATATACAATCTCAACAATCTTGATGAGCTCTAATGTGTTGAAGAAAAAAAAAAAATAATACATTCTACGTCAATGCAATGTAAAAAGTAACAATCCTTGATTTGTACATCGTTAAAATAACATGTTTGAAAAAAAAAAAAGAAGTTCTTTATTGATTATGTTCATTATTACGTCGTTTATTTAAATAATATAAATTTATAAAAAATATCTACAAGAGTGATGTTTTTTTAGTAGTCTTAAGTTGTTTTTGAATTGATATAGTGCCATATGTCATGATTTTCTTCCAAAAATACAATTGTTTATGTAGGTCATTCCATCCAATATGTAAACCCATGGGTAATGTGTCAATTAGAAAATTTGTTCTTTTATTAGACTCTTTTCTTTTTGTTGTCAGGTTCATACGATAATAATTATGAAAGCAATGTCAAAGATTTTCAAGAATTCTTTTTTAATATAATTAATGATTTTCCGTTAAATCTTTTTGTCATGTTTGAATAGAGCTCGTTGAATTACGTCTAAAAAAAAACTGTTTTACGCATATTTCAACAATGATTTTGTGATAGAACTTAAGAAAATCAAATAAAAAAGGAAGTCAGGAACACTTCTAAAAATTGTTATTAGCCAAAAGCATCAAGCTCTGATAGCCTCAATCTTCTTCTGATATTTTATTATTCTACTCGTCATATGCTTAGGAAAATAAAAAAGATTGTTTCATTGATGAGAGTGGACCGAAAATTTTGTATTAATTATTGAATATCCTATTCGATATAGATTCTTTTTTTGTAGATTCTAAGTACTGATATTTGTTTCATTATGAATTGACATTCTCAATCATCAAAATCAGTGTTAATAACATTTTGCTATTATATGCACAAAAACATTATTTCTCTCAATAACTAAATAGTATTTTTCAAAAACATGCATAATTTTTTAAATAGCTATTTGAGAAATACAGTCAAAAATTAATTTTGGATAAAAACTAAAACTATGAAGACTTAATGCTTTTAGAATATTTTATTTTTTTTTAAAGTTTTTATGATCTCGTAAACTTAATTTTCTAAAGTTTTATTACGCAAAGATTATTATTAGATATAACACGATGTGTTCTATTCAACCATGACAATAAAAATTTTGCTCGAATACTGTTTTGCCAGCATCTTATATTATTAATCATGATTTGTTAAATTTAGAATATAGATTTATTTTATTTAATTAAATAAATAAGATATTTCATTCTTTTCAAATTGATTAGCAAAAAAATCATTTTCAATCAGAACAAAAAATGAAAATCAAAATAATTCAATAGTTTATTCTTTTGAAGTTAAACTTCTGCTGAATATATTAAGTTGATTGTACTCATTCAAATATTTTACTATTCATATCTTGTAAATATTTTTTTTAACAATGATAGATTTGAATAATGCATTGATTTTTGTTTTTAATATTAGATAAAGAAAAAAACAGTATTAATGCTTTTTTAAATGTCAAATCTAATGTATTTAAGTCTTTTTTTTCTTTTGTGCAAACAAAATTACATGAAAAAATTATGGTCTAACAATAAAATTTGGTATATTAACTGTACTTTTATATTTTGGTTGTTGAGTAAATATACTCGATAGATCTGTACGTAAATCAATTATTAATTGTTTTAATTCTCGATGTTCATATTCTACACGAGCTAAACGACCTTTTAATTCTGCCATATCAATATGTTCAGTAAATGTTGATGATTCATTATTTTGAAGTGCTTGTTCAGCACGTAAACGTCGAGCTTGTTCTTGAAGAAGACGATTGTAAAGACTAAATAGATTTAGATTAATTATAAAAAAAAAACAATAAAACGAATATCTAACGTTTTTTGAGCAGCTAATTTTTCTTCACAAATTGCATCACGTTCACGTATTATTTGATTAATTGATTCATGACGCATTTTTTCACTTTGCACTTGTGCTTCTTCTAAAGCTTCCTATGTAGATAAGAAAGTGGTGAAAAAAAAAAACTTGTTGTCATTGTCTTATTACTTGAAGTTTTCGTTGAGCTACTACTTTTTCAAGTTGAAGTTCTTCATCATGACGTTGATTCATATGTTTTTCTACTTCATCAACTCTATCCTTTTCGAAAAAAAAAACAACACATCTATTAGATAATTGATATTCTATTTTAACATATAGAAGTTATGTTGGCAATGAAGTTATGTAACTTCGATAGTGTATATAGTAAAGCAAATAAAAAAGAATATTAGTTGAGCTTAATAATAAAACTTTCAGAATGATCTTCCTTCAATATTGAGAAAAAAAGAAATTCTGAAATTTATTTTGACAATCCGCTCATATCAGAAATAAATCTATGTGTGTGCTTTTTTCGTTATTAATAAAAGTTTGAAATCATTATTATATCATGCTGAAGTTTCTTTTTTTTGCTCGTGAAATTATTTTCGAATGAAGAAAAGTGATGATAAGTATTAATTTAGCCGAAGTAAATAGAAAAAATTTTGATTGAATCTATGAAAAAGAAATATTGATTAATTGATAATGAAAAAAAAACAATACTTCTTACAAGAAAAATTAATAAAATTGAAAAATATGTCGCACTTGTCAAAAATCTATTTTTATCTTTGAGTTATTGTTTATCTATACCATCTATGAATTTTCATAATACATATAAACAACGATCTTTTACAGAAAAAGATGAGAAATCAATATGGTTTCTTGATGAAACCTTGAGATTCTTTTTTTTTTATCAGTATTTTTGTCTCCGACAATAGTTATTTGTACATTTTCTTCTGAATGTTTTGTTTGGCTAAATTAATACTATTCAGCCCGATACAGTAACCGCAAATTTTGCAGATCTAATTGTCGAGCATTCGCGACTTCGTTTCCTCACATCATTAAGTCAATATCGTATTCCTATTGACTAAAAATACTCTAATGTCATCTTTCTGTTCTCTAATCTGACATAGACCCCTCAGAGATACTAAATCTAATAGTTATGATATATAATACTTATTAACTTGTTCATTTGCAAGTAAAATATATGACTTTCTTGGATTACTTTACCTATTTATCATGTAAATGCTGTCAAAAATTATTAAACTTATTTCACATAAAAGGGAAAAATGTTTTTTTTTTGTTGAACAAGCGTCAGAGTTACCTTTTTATAATCCATGAGCAACACTGATATAGCATTTATTTTAGAGCAAAGAAGAAGATATAATTAAAGCATTTAGCTAGCCGAATACTTACCTTATGTTCATGAACATAAGCCTGTAGGAAATTTATTATGTATCTTTGTTTAGAAATAATTTAATATGAACAAATAGAAAGATAATAAAATGAGAAGAGCAAAAGAAATTAAAAAAAAAAAAAAACGTGCTCACCTACTTGGATAAGTTGTGTATAATCATTATTAAGTGTTGTTCGAAGATGTTCAAGATATTGTGTTGCTTGAATTTTTTCAGCAGGTGATGAAGAATAATCACGTCGTTGATTCATAGCTAATTTTACTTCACGTTCACTTTTAGCTAATTGTTGTTCAAAACGACGTTGAGCACGATCAACTGTTTGTCGATGTAAATCACTAACTGTTCCTAATTAAATAGATAAATATTAAGATAGAAAATGAATAGTCAGTGTGTTTTTGTATTTATTTTTTTGGTTCTCCGTACGATTAACTTTATCTCGACTATCATGACATGAATGTGAACGAAGACAAGATACATTTTGCATTGATGATCGTGTTCTGTCAGTCATTTTCAATTTTCAAATGGAATTTATCAGGGTTTCACACTTGAAGTAATCTTTGTTAATATTTACAAAGAACGAAAGCATTCATAACCTTGATTACCAGCCATTTTTATGCAGGTTGTGATGGTGCATACATCAAACAAACTGTTCTAGGACAATTATGACTTATAATGACATCTTTTTGAATCATGATTGAATGGTATAATATTTAAACCAATATGGTTTTCAACAGATGTGAATGAATGAATATGAAATACTTTTTTGCCATTTATTTAAATTGAATATTATTGATTTACACAATAAATCAAATAAAAAAATGTACCAGCTGACTACACTGATAGTCAATATCCGTCAAAACCAATAATGGTATGGTCTATGAGGACGGTTTCTTCACTTATTTCAACACTGTTAGTTGAATGTAAGTGATTAATGAATCATTTTTTCTTATCAAATTTATTGATACTCTTTTTGTTGTCTTAGTGTATAGTGTAAAAAAGGTGAATTATAATCATATTATCATAGGAAAAATCAATTCATAGAAGTTATTCTCTACGATAAATAAGAAGCTTTTATGGAGATATTTCAACACTCAGCACATTTAGATAGAAACATTTATTACTATTTTACTCTAAATTTTATTTTATTTGAAGGATGAAGAAGGTTACACAAGTATAGCAAGACGAAAAAGAGATTTTATGGACAAAACATAAAGCACCTGATGGATTAAAAGTGTCTGTTGCAGTTGGTATTATTTTATTTAGAAATATCTTCTTAATACTATCTCTTGTTTCTATAGCTTATGTTGTGTCAGTACCCTTATCGTGAATAAAAGTTGAAAACGGCTATACCCATTATCATAATGTTGATATAGAAGGTTCGCGATGGACAAAATCAAACGAACTACAAGATATGGAAAAAATGATTGTACAACAATAGTCAATTAATAAGAAATTACCATACATGTAAGAGAAACATGATTGGAATTATTGAATACATATATAAAGTTTTATGCTAGACATCTAAGAATGCTGCTTTTTGTCATAAACTGAAATAGCAATAACGAAAATTCAAAACGGCACAGTACCACAAATAATAAATTACGTTTCCTGAGTACATGTTCAGGTCCAAGATTTGTCTTTAGATATTAAGAAACCAAGTTTAGCCTAGTACGTCTGATCGAACTAAAACTGTTTTCACACATACTATACACTCTTGGAGATGGATAGATTTTTTGTTTCATAAATTATTGTTCTACTGATTTTTGATAGTTCTATTTAAAAAACCAATCATTTTTTAGGATACCTTCGGTATTTTGACTTTTTTATTCCAAAGAAAAGAAATAAAAACATACAGACCTCAAACAGTGTTTACAGTCTGTAAAACAATTTCTGACTCTATGAAATATAGCATCTTGGAGAAAGGGAAGAGACATTTTTTGATATTGTAATGCTAGTATCTCACACAAGACAGCATCTCAGAACTTAAAGTCTATGGCAATCTTACCTCTACTCATCAAGATGTATGTGTTCTGAAAATATCAAAATTTTCTTAGGAACTGTTTTCCAGAAACTTTGAAAAGGGGAATACTCTTAAAGCATACTGGTTGAAATTAAAAAAACACTCGAAAATATTTTTATTTTCATTTATAAATCTTCAGAAACATAGTCGAATAACTTGCTAAGAAATATACTCAACTGTTAAACAGAGATATTCATCACGGTCGAAAAACTGTCGCTAGCGCATCACGATAGTATTCAAAAACTGCTTCGATTTTCACTGCTGTGACTCTACTAAATTAAAACTGTTAATACGAGTTCATGAAATTCATCGAGTCTCTTGATTTTGCACTTGCGAACACTGAAATTCTCTGCAAAGTCATACAATTTTACACTGTCCTTCAAGAAGAAAGCTATCAATACCACAATGTCGCATTAAAGCTTTGAGAAAATGAGGTCAATCATAGTCGCAAAACGGGAAACATGAATGTCGCAGTACCGACTTTTAGCGATCGCCAAAAGTCTGGATTAGGTCGTAAATCCACTAATTAGAGTTTGAGTGGGAGTATTCATATCGCTCATGGCTTATTACAAAACTTGCGGCAATTGTCGAAAGTCAACTGCGAAATTGATGCAATCCCATAGAAGATATTTTCAAGTCGAATGAGAGCTCATATCGACTGATTTTTGGACGTTTTCTACTAAGAAAAAACGAAAACTAGTTCGAAAGGAAAGACAATCACCTTCTTTTTAATCCACCATTGTACCACTATCATAATGAAATTATTAAAGCATCATTTGTGCTACTGCCGTGATGAGCAATTCTGATACTAAACATTATTAGATTTTACATGCTAGCTATGACATTTAGAAAATTTCATGACTATTGAATTATTTTCTGAAGAAAAAAAGAATAATCGATTTCTCATTGATTTCTATGACGAAAAGACTAAAATATTGCAGTTTTCATTTATTTTATTTTCTAATAGTCATATAATAGTAACTCTACTAACAAGTATAGATCATCAACAACAGGAAATGAACCACCAATAAAAACTTGAATATGCATAAAAGAAAAAAGCTACGGATGCATTTAAAGAATTCCTTCGTGAACAAAAAATGTTCCATCAATTTCGACATGGAATCCAGCATGAAAATTAATTGAAAATTATCCATGTCATATAGCTATAAAACATATTAGTGGAAAAAACAAAAATTTAATGTATATAAAGTAACTTGAATATACAAAAGCTGAACAATTAATTGGACCTCTCGCTATTCTATTATTCAACTAGAGTGAGAATGGGGATGCCTCTTATGACCAACAGTCATGAAATAATTTTAATGTAGCTATCGGATGACTGTTGTTTATTTTGTGATACTCACATAATTTGTTACCAGTGTATAGCTTTCGATTTGAGATTTCTTCTACTTACTTTCCTTGTCCATCATGTTCACTTGATGTTTTCGTTGCTGATTCCAGCTGATTTTGTTATTGAATTTGCCATTAGAGCATCGCTCTATTTTTCCGCTTTATGGGGATAGTTGGCGAGGCTATCACTAGTACTTATTTTATTGCTTTAAATAGATCGTATTATGAGCTAACTCATACCTGTCTTATAAAACCTTGCTGTCATTACATACTAATCCAATCAACAGAACATTGGTAATTAGACATATGCTTCTTCAATACTCGGTTTTTTATTTATTTAGTAGACGACTATCACCTTTTTTCGATTATTTCTCATGCATTATTTTCTGACCGATATGATTCACTTAAAATCATAGAATTACTTAAATTATTATCTTTAATTGAAATTTGGAAAATTTTTTCTCTTAGTTGTGGTACCGATTCCAACTTCGTTTACCACGACCAGAACTAAAAGTTGATTCCGAATATCTCTATTCGTGACTCAAGATTACTTTCACGAAAAAAAGTAGATACTCAAGAGTATCTGGATTTCGTGAATTCTGAACTCATAGAACTCTTAATAGTGCAATTTCATTTACAGAACTCAAGAACTACTTGAAACTTAGATAGTAGATCAACTCTATTGTTTTAAATGGAATTGACTTCATCATACTTTGCTTATCCACAAGAATTTAAAATAATTGTAGTAGTGTTGAAATTTACGATACTAGAAATGCTATGAAAGATGACAAGTGTGAGATATAATTTTTTCCGTGAATATTCAAATATATATGCTGCTGTGAATGTAGAGAAAACCGAAATTCAAACCTTTTTCGAATAATCCGGAAATTCAGAACTTACTGAATCTGACTACTGCTGTTGAACCAGTATACGAGCTGCGCCTTTAGAAATCGATCTATGGATACATCTTCGTATTCTACATTCCTTGTGTATATCACGAGAAGATATTTGTTTTTACCTTTGATCTATTTTTAAAAAAACATTGTCAGTCATAAGTTCAGTATATTTAACTTTTTTTTACTAGTTGTTTTGAGATTAGTTTATGCTTTCAAAAACATTCAATTCTCTAGCTGTTTTAAACTAATCCTGTATGAACCTGAGATGATTTGTTTTAGCTATTACTTGATTGAATATCAAAAAATGTGTTCTTTATTTGTTTTAGGTTCAACACTGTTAGATTAATTTAAAATTTACGTCGAAGATTTAAAAGAAACGTCTTAAATCAAATTTTTAAATATTATTAAAAACAAATTGAAAATGATGGTGTTTATTTTGCATTTTCATTAGAATCAGATCATATTCTTGTCTATTCGATGAATATTATAGATAAATTATAATTAATTCTTAATAATCTCATCATCTTAAACAAACACAAAAAAAACAAGGAAAAATACATTTATCACAAGTGAGTGTCAATTTTTTTATTAAAAGTTCAATTATACATAACTGATTTTTTTCTCTTTTATAGGAATCTGACGATCAAGAACGAAAAAGAACCTGAATCATTAATAACAGATTCAATAAATGTTAATGTACCAGAAAATCATGAAGATAAAACAAAAGATTGTGATTATGATGTACTTGCTTCATTATAGGAATCAACTATAGTCACGAAACAAAAAAATCAAAGGGAAATAAGGCAATATCTGCGCATTGTTTAGTTCGTATTTTTAGAATGAAATCAAGTCAAATAATGAATCAACAAAGAAGAAAAAGAAAAAAGATAAATAACTATGTAGCATATATATTTGTTGTTTTCGCACATATCGATATTGTTTATTTCCACAGATTTTCAATTTTGGCTCCTGATTGCAAAAAAATAATGATTAAAGTATTACACTTTGGTATTCGAAAGATTTAATAAAGTTTTTCTTATAATTTTTAATGGTGTCAGACATAATTAAAACCTTCCTCAATTGAATATATAGCATTATGCTTATTGTGTATTAATAAGGCATGAGATAGGTCCGCTACTCGTATACAGATATATGACAATCTGATACCCTGATTTCTTTCATTCGTCCCTTACTATTTGAAGCAAGAAAAGTGAAAAATAGCTATAATCTAATTATAGGCTT